AATAAATAAGTAATATCGCTATCTAGATTTAAACTAAGTAGACCCCGTATTCGACAACTAATAGACTAACACACATACTAACACAAAGAAAGAGAAAGGGGGAAATAGACACATTAATATTAATAGTAAATGTAAATTAATAAAAAAACATTATATAATAAAAGTCGTCAGTTACAAGATTGATTGAAAATGAAAAGAGCACCAATTAAAACAAAGCTAAGCTATATATTATAAGTTTTAATTTACAACAAGACACTATCAAGATGTTATAGATTAAATTTTGTACGGCGAAACTTCCATCGTTGTATATTCAATTTAACAAGCAGATGTCATGCGAATCGCTACAGATAAACTTCCTAACACGAACGGCAACTTCAATCGTCATAAAATTAATATAAAACTACCACGAGAGTAAACTATATAGTGGAAAGGTTGGAAATTGGCGACATCATTACATAATGTAGTCACAAAGAGTCCTTTTAGAAGTAGCTTAAAAATAAAACGCATTTTATCAAAATAAAAGCATGCGTGGTATGTGACGAAATATAAACAAAGTGCAGAATATTGTATTATTTATTTAGAATGGCTTGTTAAGAGACAGATTGAGCGTTACTTTTACGTTACTAGTTCTTTAGCGTCACTTTTATGAAGAAAAAAAAAACATTTTATAAATTATAATGAATAATTTCAATATTAGACGTAACAGAGGATATCCGCAAAAGAACCAAAGTAACCGATATAACCCAAAGGATAAGCAAGTTGAAGTGACAATGGGCTGGTCACATAGCTCGAAGCACCGACAACCAATGGGAAAGAAAGGTTCTTTTTGAGTGGCAACCCTGTACGGGCAAACGTAGTGCAGGATGAAGCCGCACTAGATGGAGTGACGACCTCAAATGCATTGCAGGGAGTCAGTGGATGCAGGTAGCTCAATTCCGTTCCTTATATTAGTCTATGGGGAAGGCCTTTGTCCAGCAGTGGACGGATAATGGCTGAAATAATGATAATGATGATGGGATGTAACGTAAAGGTAAAGTAGGTATATATACACCATCATTTCCATTATCATCATTAAAAAAAAAAATTATTTTCAATAAATCTCTTTTTAAATAATACTACTCAAAATATAACAGAATTCACAGCAATTTAAACGCAACATTTACGAAGTTAGGTGTAGAACACTAATATCATTACTATTTACGTGTGCAAACTTCCAATTTAGTAATGCACACATTTCATATTGACGGCTGCCATAATCTACTGTTCGTTTCAAAACAACAATTAAATACGTTTTGGACTATTGAAATTAATATCATAGAATTAACAAAACAATTCTGCAGAAATTTTCAATTTTCAATTTTCAATTCAAACTCCACCGTCATGATCAATAAAGCATTCTCATGCTGTACATTTACATTTTTTTGTTTATCGGCAATTGGATTTGAAAACTCTTGAATTATTCTCAGCTAATTTTAATTGCTGACTTACAATTTACATAATAATTATGAATAAATTTATCTGCACGATGACAGTACCATCTGACGTTGAACAAATAGGGTACATTTCGTCTTAATTCAATCGGGTAAAACGTCGGGTTACAGCTAGAACTATAAATAGAACTATGAATTTATTAGGGGTCTCAGATTTTATTATTACACCTAATTGATATATTAATAAATCCATTGAAATCACGTACCATGCTAATAGGAATCGCATTAAGTCGTTGTCGTAGAAACCGCCTAAAAGGTGCTTAATATTCCCGTCAAACTCCGGATAACGGCCCTAGAATAGTTTAATACCACTCGTGTCAAAGAGATATTGCGCCTTACACAGCTTGTAACAAGGCGCAATATCCTTTTACACGTCTATACCTCCTATAATGTCCTGCCAATTTCGCTTGATATTTGCACAATAACACTGTAATTTTTCGTACAAATAGATGATTTCAGTTATTTTAGTTGGAAGATATAGTTATATATACATGTTTGTTTATTTACTTGATATTAAATGGATTATATAACAGAATATGCTTAAAGTTAGATTAACTGAATACTCGGGGGAAAGCGTTTACAAATTAACACGTTTATCGTATTATTATTAATGAAGGTTGAAGATTTCCTCATCGTCACTGGACCCAAACTATTGAGTGTTTAAAAACTATATTTAGTCAGTAGAAACATTAGTTTATTAACTAATTTACTTACCCCTGTAAATAAATAAAAGACGTAAAATAACAAATGTTTAGTCGTTTCGCAAAAGTTAGAAAATATTGCATATGAGTGTATAAGTAGCTTTGTCATTTTGATTGAAGCTTCATTTGTTTTAATTAAATAACATTAGACCTAAATATACTACAGATTTTACAATTTGGAAATACATAAAGAACCGACATAAGAAAAAGTTGTATGAATAAACTTAATTTTTATAGATAGATATTTAAAAATTCTAGTGGTAGAAGTGGAGAGTTTGATACTACTTTTTATGAAAAATAACAGCTATATATAGTATAACTATTGTTGCTGGCAAGTTGGCCAACCCGCTTTTTTATTTGTATTTTTATATTATATTTGGCATATGTTTTTTTTAGACTTTTTTCTCTATACGTTTTCTAAAATATACAGTTTACTTGACATTTAATTTAATCTTTCCCCCAGTCACACCTATATTGTTTTACAAAAATGTATACCTACTATGCTGTAAAATATACTTAGCATGTCTACTTCTTTACTATGATTTTAACCGTACACTATTCAACACAGAACTACATATATTCTTTATTGCACTTGTAAGTTACATATAAAATAATGTATTTATAAACCTACCCAACAGTTGAGACTTAACTCCCCTCGCGACGACCTCCAATGTGATTTAAATCCGTAACATTGATATTACTTCATCTAATGGGGTCGCCCTGCACTGCCTTTATTTGTGCTGGGTCACTACTCGAGAACCTTTCCCATCGTATATCGTTTCTATTCTATGTAGCCTCCATCATTCCTTTTATAATTAACCTAAGTTAGCAAAATTCAAATCGCAGTCAAATTAAATCTATCTATCAAATGATATAAACAGCTAGGTGTTAATATTATCGAGAGTCTAGTGGCTTGTTATCAGAACATGTTGGTTAAAATCAATCAATTAGATTATCTGACCGCATTCGAATACCAGCCACGAGAAGCTATCGTTCCAACAATAAATGTTTTGTTATATATTATATTTCATTATCGACAAAGCTAAGGAGGCAGTTGAGGCAATGTTTTATTCATACCATAGCTGAGGAAGATGTCAATTTATAACTGATTTTCCGCTCCTTATACTAATTTACCTAAATACATAAGATATTATGCAGCATATTAAAAAGGTAAGTGGCTGTATAATCGACAAAGCTAAAAATGCGCTTAAATATATTTTTTTAGCAGTGGCTTCGTCCGAATGACAGGTATAAAAAAGTAGCATATATCTCTCTTCATATATAGAATTTTTACTATATTTAAAATATTAGCAGGCAGATTAGCAATTATAGTTAGGTTTTGGAGATGTTTAAAGAGGGACGCTGCTGCCCTTTCCTCACCTTCCTTTAGTTGCCCCTGACAACACCCACGAGAAAGGAAGGCAATCTATTCTATTCTCCGATCCCACACGAGAAACATTAAATGTACTCACTAACAAATATCTGATTCATAAAAACTATTCGTCTGTCTTCAATATCGCCTCTATTTCCACTATCTATAAACCCTTGACGCAAATGAGTCACTTTATATACTCATTAGCAAATAACCAAATGAATAAATAAGTCCCGTCCCCTCTTTATAACAAAATGGACGACAGGTACACGTTATTCACTATGAGAACGTAACGGCTCGGACACAAACCAACATCATAGACCTAACTCTTTGTATCAACACACTATTTAGCGACCCTCGACAAAGCTCATAACATGGCACCTATAAGTTAACAGTGACACACCCATTAAATGCAACACAGTAAAATAAAGGCTTTACGTAATAATCGATACTCACACGCAATGAGTCGCTATTAGTAACAAATTAATTCCCTTGTTTCCTTCGTTTTTGGGTACTATTAATAGCGACCTCTAGCATTGCAAGAAGGCAGTAGATACAGGTGACTCCGAACCGTTCCTTATGGTAGTCTATAGAGGAGGCCTATGTTCAGCGGTGGACAGGTAACGGCTGATATGATGATGATGATGATGGTAGCGGTGATAAATATCAAGTTACAAAGTGTTATTCTTTAATGAAGTGTAAAGTAAAAATCTGTTTACGAGTATCTCTAATTATATTAAAAAAAAAATGTTTGTATAATAAATAATAAGGAAATAAAGAAACCATGTCAATAGACGGCATTATTAAAAAAAACTGTAACTCGCATACATTTTAGAAACATAGACCTTTAGCAGTTTCTCTCAAGGCGTGAATATCATTATGTAGAAATATGTAGGTATACGTATTTAATGCAATTTAAAATATCTACAGGACCAAATCGAAGTCATTAGTATCGTTTTATGGGAATGTTTTACCACAAAATGATAAACTACATATAAATTTATCGTTTTGCGTTTTTAGACTTTTTTTAATGAATATATTATTTCTTACTGTTTTGTTTTTTATGGGTGAAAATGGTATGGTATACGCTGGCGGAGCACCAGTGAAGGGTGATAGATGAGAATGAAAACAGGCCAGTTAACTCATCATGATGAATTCATCAGGAATTCACTATGATAGTTTCCAGGGAGAACCGCGACGAGGTCGACCTGGTTGGGTATAATGCTAGCAATGGGATTCTCAGTCTCCATTACTAACAATCCCCTTCCCCCTTATTTTTTTACTTTTAAAATACTTTAATGGATGCTAATATTGATTTTAGTACCTAGACTTGTAAACAAATACTCATGCCATCAGCCACGATATTTTTGACTTTGTACAACATATTTCACATTGTTAATTATAATCTTTTATTAGAAAGAACGTATCATTTTTCAGTTCAGCCTAATGTTGGGAGGTGCGTCACCCTGGTGCCATGTGGGCGTACATCATAGCGGCCGCAAGGGGAGACTCACGACACTCTATACAGAAGCGTAATTCCTCTGCCAACGCTTCAGACGATCATTTATACTCGTGAGTTCCAAATTTTATATTTAAAATATCAAATATCCTAACTACATGTGTAGCATATATCGTCAATTAAAAACATATTACGAAGTTGCACCTTTTTAATTCTTTTTTTTTTATTTTTAAATAATATTGTTCTTTTTTAACACTTCATTTTAGCTCTTTACATATATTGTTTTTACATATTTTTAGAATCTCTAATTATATCTTCAATGTCTCAGACATAGTAAAGCTTAATGATTATTTAAAATCTTTATAACACGGAACTAATTAATCAGTCCTCATATTCAAGGAACAAATCAGTTGTATATATAATCAGTACTCAATCTCTGTGTGATACAGCTATATTTTAACGACCCCATCAATTCTAGTCCCCACCCCATCGACAGTTTGGCGAGAATGATTAGCTCATTTCCTAATTATGTAATTGCATTGATAATGTTAAATTCAAATATTTAAATCTTCTCTATATTTATATTCAAATTTTTGTTAAGGCTTAAGTACTTCGTAATCGGTAAAGATATCTGCATGTATGGTGTTGTAAAACCTTTTTATGTTTTTTTTCTGTTAATGGCAAATCAGTTTAATATGTTTTATTGATGTTCTTTCTTTGTGTTATGAAATGACAATTGACCTAATATTTTTGTAATATTCTATTTATCTGCCTTCCTAGATCCTAGCACATTTATTTATTAAATTTATCACATAAGATTTGCCAAATACGATTATCAGGGTCATCGTTACCCTTTCATCCATTACCATTTCAGCCCTTCATTGTCCGTTGCTAATTATACAACCATGTTTCGTACCAACCTGCACTCTTTCGCCCATACTAACTGTTCTTCGTACATAAAGAAAATCTTTGAGCCACCAGCTTGATTACTTACATATTTCGAGGTTGTAGCTTCATCTTATGTTTAATGTGAGACATTTTCCTCTAAGAAATCAAGTCACCAGTTGAACGCTTACCCTTGCTCCATACAGGAAACCGACCTTAACCCAAATACATTCTGCATAGCGATAAATTTCGAATCCGAGCCAGTCTGCTCGTCACACAATTGGACGTGTGGAACAAAGGTTGACCCACCAAGATATCTGCTACCCACATATTACAGCTTGCCAACCTTAATAATATGTGATCTATACATATACATACTAGCCATTTTTGGGCTACATTGCGTTCTGAATAATAATGGTAATGATTAAAACGTTTTATAGTAAGAAAGTTGGCAAATATTTCTATTCTAATAGTAAAAATAAAATTATTTTCTAACTTCATTTTATGATGATTCGAACTAGGTAAAAATACATACTTATACTGTAGGCGAACTAAAAATTGAAAATTTGTTACAGGTAAAGTAATATGATAAATATGTACTGTAAGTTTTCTTCGATGTTCATTTCTAAGTTACCAAAATTTGTTGCTAACCGCGCGGTTTTAGTAGTTTTCAAAGTAATATTTATCTAAATCAGAATATAATGGTACCTACACGTAATTTTACCCTCGTGCAAATCCCATTTGCATTGAAATTCCATACTTTTTAATTTTGTTGAAAATTCTGCGAAAAAAGAATGAGAAGTTTTGACAGGTTTATAATGGATATAAAATCGTTATTAATGAAAGAGATCCTGTTATTTTTAAATATAAATACAATGATATATGATGATATATATCACACAAAAAAACCCCAATTCCGGGTCGACGAACTAGGCTAGTTTATTATTATAGCACAATCCAAAATAATAAGTGTAATCTAGTCAATATAAGAATATTGGTGAAGACTCGTTAGTGAATAGTTACATCAACAACTCTGTTTTCAATGTTGTATATGCTGCTGAGATGTTCATTGTTGTTTAGAAATAGAACGTTCGACGCTATCTACTTCAGTCTTTGTGACGTGTTGAAGAAAAATCAGCTTTATTCATTGTAATTAAAACTACATTTTGACTAACAATAGAGGCCTGCTGTACTTTAAAGATAACTATCCCTTTGAATTTCTAGGTATATATATGACGTCTTTGATGTTTCTATTGTTTAGAATGATGGTATTGAAATCATATCGGTAACCTGTAAATACAGACAGGATCACCTTTACCTAGTACTTGTACACAGGCCAGCCCTACCTAGAAAGAAAATTTATAATTTAGAATTAAATATGTAAAATTTCGCAATTTAGCGAAACCCGAACTTAATTCTAAAATAACTAAAAAATAATTGCCAAAATAGTATAATTTCGGTCGGAAAGTATAAACATAATTAATATTTTTTTTATTGATAATTATCATTCAATATTAAAATACAATATATCCGAAGTAGATTCAATGAAATATAACTTATAAAAAAAGTAACGTTACTGATAGTAACTTTGCACATTGTACAATAATACATAAAACCAAGTGTTACTGGCAACTTGGCTAGCTAACCTTTTAAATGTTGTGTTTTTAAATACTTTTCTTATATATCTTTTTGATATGTTTCCTTTGAAACTGCCTTTCTATATTATAATTTACTAAAACATTCCTATTTTAATTATTCTTCAAAGACACGAAAGAAAAATTTAATTGTTTAAAATAAATACACCTTACCCCACAATATAATCATTAACTTTGACTCTAAAATAGTCTTAGGTATTCTAATGCAACAAATATATTTTACAGATACCGTGATGGCAAAGTATTTACTTTGTCAAGTTCAACGGGATCGAACCCCGGCCCTTCTGGACTAAACTCCCGGGACATGAACAAAAGCCCACGGTACCAATACAAAAAGCCGATAGCGACCTCGACAATCAGCCCGTTGCACGCGCGTAGTGAATATAGAAATCAGCTTGAAGAAGGCATCGAACCTTTCGAGGAAGTAAGTACAATATATGTTCATTTCATTGGCACTTTATTTCGATAGTAATCGTAGGTATTTAGTGTTTTTTAAAGCTATCCTTATAATATATTAGTAATTTCATTAAATAATTATATTCACTGTGTATATTGTTATGAACTGCATTTCAATATTTACACCTAATCAATATATAAAGCGATATTCTATATTGAACATTTCAAGATATTCTAATTAAAAATTTCGACTATCTAATTCTGGCATAATAACCCTAACAGCGTTTACACGATGTCATCTGTATAAAGATAATTATTTTGTTTTGCTTAAAACATTACATTGCTGAACATTTATTCATACAATATTTCGAGATTTTCATAGCAAATATTCAAATAATTATGAAAGTATTAAGTACCTAAGCTCTTGTAGCTAATGAAAATAAAAACGAATTTGATAATGTTGACCTTGGCCATCAATATTTTTTATTATGTGAGTTTATTCTAATTTTTTATCATATTAATTATATCTATATCAGTTTATGGCAGTTTTTGTTATACTGCCACTTTTAATTAAATGACTATTAGTTTTATATGCTAGTATATTAGGATGAAATCTCGCGCTCGTCACAAGCGCAATATTTAAAAGATCATTCAAGTATCGATTGGTGGGGTCTGACAGCGTTTGATTGCTTCTATAATGTTATACTCATCAATCATTTGCCGTCCAAGAAAACTTACCACGAAATCGCTTCCATTCACAAATGGCGATTTTATTGCATTAACAAAAAAAACGTAGGTAACTTATAACCCAGAGTAATTAGTATCGATCACTTTCAGATTAACCATCTTCAAAATTCCATGCAATCTGCAACTTTACCCAAGAACTAGTCAAAATTTTTATCTATTCTGTTAAACTTTTACACGTAAATGGTGTCTACAAAGCTACTGTACACGTTGCCTGGAGTTTTCCGAGGAACAATATTGATGACACGGTGCTTCTGAAAAATGATGCGAAAACATTTTCAATTCTTTTAATAGTACTCCTATTAAACAAATTGAAAGCCATACCGAATAAACGCTGGAACTGAAACAAAAAACCTCCCGTATTACTCATACACTTAATTCAATCGTTACTTATAATTCTTACAATCTTAATGATAAAAATGATAAAAATCAATCTGATTTTTTAAATGATATTAAATTTTTCCTTTCAAATTCATATTATTTCATTTGGTCCTACCAACATTTGGCTATACCAATATCTTCTTGGCTCATAAGATATCAATTTTTCTCTAGTTCTAATATACGAGTAAAATAAAAATGTATGGCAAAATTCTGAGCAATTCAATTATATATCATAATTTATTCGATATTTACTCGTATTCGCAAATACCGATTGTACTTTGCTAACGTTTTGAACATACTATATTAAGAAAAACTATACTAAAAATTATGTCCGAAACTTAGAAATTACTTTATGGACGAAAAAAATATACTCACAGCCTTACCGAGTATAACCCAAAATCTATTTTCTGACGAAAATAATGGAATACACACCGTTATTTAGGAGTAAATACTAAGGTAGTTTACAGTTTCAATGCAGTACAAAGATCAATTGACTAACCACTTTGCTGTTCTTAAAACGCTAGCCACTTCCTACGCCATTTCACTCCGTTTCAAATTAAGATGTGAACAAAGCACAAGAATCTCAAGGAAAAACTTCCTGTGCTTTTGATTCTATTAACAAACTTCTGAAACTTTGTTAACTGCTTTTGGATATATTAAAACATTTCTAAGTTATTATTCACTATTGAATAAACATTATCAATTTGACCAATACATAAAGTGCATATATACAATTAGTACGTAAAATACATTTACTTGAGACAGAGTATTTATAAGGAATATTTTATAATAATTCCTCACAATTTTAGTCAGTATTTGTAAACAAATGTAAATAGTCAAAACAAAGCTAAGGCTTCACGTAAACATTAATAACAGGTACATCTATCGAAAAGGACTCATTAATTAATTTTGTTAAAACGTTTAGTTGGCAAACATCCATGTTGGTAATGGTGTTGGAGGCTTCAGAACATGATCAAGTTAATGTATTAACTTTTAAAGCGGCAATTAGACATATTACGTTCAGTGGCGGCGGCCGGGCAATCAGTATTTACGATGGAAGCTACGGGGACACGTCATAACCGTAACATCGGGAAGTTGCCTGTTGCGCGCTCCTCATGGCCCATTGTTTCGATGGTGCTACCTTGAACACGCACAGACTATCTATTAATTTCGGACTTGAAGTTCATTTCTGTTACGACGGTTGAACCTACGGACGCCGGAATCTAACAGTGTTATTTTTTAAGACAAAATAAAACACGTTTTATTATGCCATCCAACTTAATTGGCTCATCGTTTCTCATAACTATTAGTTGTGTACAGTAAATTCCTTTAATTGAAGTTCGTGTTAACTGGGTATCGTGACCCAACATTGAAACAATTACTTTGATACCGATCTCTCCTATTTGACGACAAGTTAATGACTCCATTTATTTCAAAGACGACGCTGTGATGAAAAAGAGTGAAAGTAATGAGGTAAAACTCAAGTCTAGTGACTGGCAGAAAGCTGAATATATCAGTAGGGAAAACATGAGTCCAGTTTTCACTATTCATAAGTTTGGCTTGAACACCATGGGCCCGGTAAGTAGCATACCTATGTTTTACACGCGACAAGAAATAAACTAATGATATTATAAAGCATCCTAATAATGTTTTTTATAAAACTGCATGCTTAAAGAATGGGAATGGGTTTTATTTTTTTTATTTGGAGTTCATTTAATAAGTAATTAAAATATGTATCTACTTTGTCACTATTTACTTTTACTGAGATTGCTAATTTTAGTTAAAACTTTTTTTTTATGCAATTTAGAATGGCAAAGAAGCTGACGGCCCTCATGATGGAAAGTGGTAACCATCGTGTATAGACATAAGCAGTACCCTGGACATAATATACTGTTTTGCCCATGATAGCCCCCATGTGATACCATTTCTGAAAATTAAAGTGTTATTCCTCCTGTAAATTCTATCAGACTATACACTTTCTAAATGAACTACTACAATTAAATATAAGTATTCTTTAATTAAACTTAATGACATATAGCGTGGCAAAATTGTGTTAGTAACATCAATGACTGAGCTTTTTCCGTAGCAATGGCTACCTACTGTTAATACGGAACTAATAACAAACTATTAATTAGAGCCAAATGTACAACCACTACGACAAATTCTTATGGCAGTATTGTTTCTGGGTCAATATAATATAATATTTAATGAATGACTATTAGAACAAGATGTAAACAATTATTAGAACACGCATTACCTCCTTCTCCCTAGGCACTTTTTATACTGACGTGAGTGATTCTTTGTAAGTTTCCTCTAACTACTTGTTATCTCGTTCTATCCCGGTATGATATAATGGTTCTATTTGGTATTATATAACAATAGTACCTGTAAGTCGCAAGATATAATATATGCGTATATCAAATTCCATTCAAAAGTATCCAACCATCCAGGCAAGATTTAATAGCATAGTACAAGTAAATATACAGAAATTTTAAATTCACAATCGGAACTTAACGTGACTCCATTACAGGTAAATAGTACCTACATAACCGTTGTTTTGTAAGTTTACAAATATGTATAAACAACACGATAGTTTAAAATTAACAATCTATGAACACTTTCACATATGTAATGAACAACTATTCGAACATATATTAACTATTTTTTCCAAGTACTTCTGTACTGGCATGTGTAGATATTTTGTTTCCTGTATTGTTATCTCTTTCATTTTCGGTACGATATGATCCGTATATATATATATATATATATCTGTGTACTAAATTGTATTCAAAAGCAACCAACTACATACAAACGTATTACAGTACCTAACACTTATGAAAATATTTGCAAACTTTCAAATATATTATAGTCATTTAAAGTTATCATCAAAGATAAAGATATATATATATATATATATATATATATATATATATATATATATTGTTATTTTTATAATGCTATTGTTTTGTTATATTTTATTTACAAGAGAATATGTAGTAAAATTCTTATATTAATATATTTTTAAAGAATTTTTCAATGTTCTAAATACAATGAAAAATATATAAAAATAAAAATTTAAATAAATTTGTCATTCTCCTATTCAATATGTTTTCACCTAACCATACAAGCCTTATTAATTTCGGTATATTTTTATATAATTTTTTTATATACATTCTGTTTGATATTTGTTTTGGCAATACTTTTCTGTACGCTTTTGCAACTTTCTTTATTTTCATGTCAAGTTTCATGCGGAATAAACAAAGGTAACTAAGTGCCAGGGGCCTCTTCTATATGAATATATATTCTAGATTGATTGATTGGATAAAAATACGTCCTCAATGTCACTATAATTATGTAGATGTGCAATTAATTTATTATTATCTTTTTGTGATTTTGTAAACACGATTAAATGAGCGAAGTCTTTAATCAACGGAGAAAATTTATCGCTCGTGGGCTTTTTAATTAATATCTGTCGTATAAAATAAATAATTATGTTAAGCTATAATTTAACAATGAAAGAATGTACTATATATAATTTCGTCAGATTGAAAATTATAATGTTAATTTTATTTTTTTATTAATATATTATTATTCCTAATTATTCTTATTAATCAACTGCTAACGAAAGGGAATAATTAATGTTTTACTAGTGTATGAATCTACTAATTTTCACCTGTGCATTTATCATCAGAGTAGTCATTTCATCATCAGAGATTAGGGGCGCCGACTCCATCGGTGCTTGGAAGCTCCAGCTCACGCGAGAGTTAAATAGATCACTCGTGTCGCTAGACATCATAATATAATTAAAATAATCCTTATCTCATTATATTTAGGTTGCGTTTGCTTGTCCAGCAAGCATTGTCCGTCTCTCAGCTGAAATAATGATAATGTACCTCAGCAAAA